TTCGACCGAAAACCCTGTTTTAAAATCCAGTGACTAATAGTGACTTTTCGCGTCAATTTAACCAACAAATTGAATTTTTTTATCTTAATTCTAATGGGAATTTTAATATACGCAAACCATAAATAATTACTGTATTTTCAACTCCAAGTATGCCTGGTCAAGATGGCACTATGACAAATCAATAATAGTTACATATTGGCTTCTCCATCAAGTAAGATTAAAATTAGTATGTTATGGTCCTTAAAATTTTGAACAAAATGGTACAGACCCCATTTCCGTAAAAAGTACGGTTCAAAAGTAATTGTAACTTATGTTATTTCCCATAAAAAATCCCATAAAATAACAAAATATCGGATTTTAGGAAGAAAGCCGGTTTTGGTTCAAATTAATGTGTTATGGTCCTTATAATTCTAAACAAAAATAGTGCAACCCCCATTTCTGTAACAAAAAGTTATTGCAACTTTTGTGATTTATCCCTATAGAATATCATAGTTACTCCCACCGCGTACCCATGATAAAGGTTGTTTACAAGCTTATGGCAGAAAGTATGTGTCAGTTTGCTGATACCGTTCATTTTTGTTTTAAAATTAATGAATGGTAAAACCTTTATCCAAGGATATTTACGCTTTGTTAGTCAAGCCCTCGTTGATAAAAAATCATTATTAATATATCACCCATTTTAATATTATTTATTCTTCTTACTGTATTACAGTTTACAATAAACATTTTAAGACAAATAAAGTTTTCCTCCTCAAACTTAGACTCGTTCAGATAAACTTTAAATGAAACTAGAATCTGTTTCTTTAGACAGATTAGTTTTAAATGAGGTCTGATTACCTAAGTTTCCAAAGTTTGTTAAGTTGGCAAAACTAAATTTATTGAATGTTTCATCCAGTTTGAAGTAGATCAAGGAGCTTGAAGTGTCTATCATATTTTTATTTAGTCACTAACAAAAACTTGTTATATTGCAAAACACCTGTCACAAATATTTTATTTTGATAAGCAGATAGATGCTTGATCATTAATTTCTTTAGCTCAAACTTATTATGCATTTATAAAACTATTAGAACAGTGTATAATGTTATGATTTGTATACGGAGCACGAAATCGACGATTCAGATTCGTTGAAATTAGTGTATTCATTGTTTTGTATTTATTTCTTATTTTTCTGTTGTTTTCTCCATATTGCTCGTATTGATCATTATCATCAATCAGCTTGTAATAAAGTACTTCGATTGTTTTTCTATTTTCACAGTTTGAATTACTTTATATCACGAATACTATGTAGGACAGACCTGGCAAATGTTACTGGCCCGAAAGTAGAAATTATTTTATCATTGCCTTAAAGGAACTGTATTTACCATAATGTTAAATGTTATTAGAATAGGATTCTGGTCGGTTACGTCATTTGTTTATGTATACTAGTGGTCGTCCAGTGGTCAAAAACTCGATTAAAAACATGTAATGTATACGTATTGGCTATTGGATAGACATCCCATTTATATGGACCAGCTATCGCCATTTTCTTTATTAAAACATGTAGTTGTGTTAGCCATTAGCCGAAAGCGTGTCTTAAATTTAATATACCTTATTTTTTGTTGCTGACAAAGTTGATGGGTCATAAAGACGGTGACACACTATCGATCTTTTCCCCGAACAAGACCCCGAACCGAGCAGGGAATCACAAGTTGCTATAGCTCATTCAAAAAGTTTGACTTTGTAAAAAACATCGTGTATTCGCCAGAAATTTAGACATTTAGATCAGCGCAGTCTGTTGGTGGCTCACATCAACTACGACGAATTAAATTTTAAAACTGGTGACAACTTTAACATAGGGATTAAATGTAAAGGTTTCTCTATTTTCACCCCAAGCTGTAAATAAAACATGTGATTGGAATTTCCTCCTTTTATTTTGATTGTCTGTTTATATTTCGTTGTTATTTCGTCACCAGCATGTCAACCCATAAAGCCCATGTTTTTAAGATTTCAAATTCATTTTTTGAGCTTATTTTAATTTTTAAAGGGATTCTACACTTCTGCAGGAAAATATCTTTCCAACGGTATGCGTAGATTTTTCCAGCAATGCACACGAGCTGAGGAAAAAGGTTTAAAGAAACATGCTTGCCTATTAATATATAGATAAATGATTCATACCGCTATCCATTCTAGTATTCGTGCTTGATACATTAAACAGTTTACACGTCAATATTGCATAAACTAAACGGTAAAATTGTATTTTATATACGATTCTAGACAGTACATGTTATATTAAATTGGAATTTAGATATAGTTTGGATTAGATTGTTGAAATCCTACAGCTGGTCATCTCTTTGATATCGATAATCTGAAAGACCTCATTAGAAGAAGCCATTGATTGATATTCTGTCCTCACAACTAATATTGTCTTGATTGCTTAGCTCAGTTATTTCAAGCTTTATCACTAAAATAAAATCTCAAATTAAGAGTAGCAATTCGTCCACTTTCATTCATTGAAACTGTTCGGATCAAAAGCTCACTGTTACTCTAAAAGAATGTGTCAAACGTTAAATGGTCAATTTGATAACTGACATTTTTGTTTCAATTTCATAAAAATTAATAGCTGTAATACTTGTACAACTTAAAAACTAACTGTTTAATTATAGGTGTAATGCCATAAGGTGTAAGCCATCCATGTTTAACTGCTTTAAAACAAGATGAGATAAACTTTTAATGAAACTGGAATCTGTTTCTTAAGACGGATTAGTTTTTGAATTGACATGTGATTGCTTAAGTTTCTGTTGTAAGCTCAAGTTATTTCCTCGTTGCAAATACTTGTGTTAGAGTCTTACTCTTCTGTTTTCTAATTAAATTTTAAGACTAACATAATTTTGTACCAGTAGTATAGTTTAATATCAAATTTGAATAATGGATAGATTAAATAAGGCTAAAAACAATTGTATAGCAGCTAGAAATCATGTTCAACTAGTTTATGTATAATAGTTCAAGGAACCTACATAACTATGGTATACTACAATGTTGATGAATAAAAAAATAGTTTTCTTTCAGTTTCCATGGCAATTGTTTAGCTAGTAAAAATCTCTTATAGATTTTTCACTGATATGAAAACTAACTATGAAGTAAAAAGCTTTAATAATTTTTTATGCAAAATCTGTTATCTTTTATAACACACATTTGCAATCCAAGCTAAGCGTGTAAAGGCCGCTTAAGATGCGATGTTGAACGGCTTATTGTGAAAACCTTTAAGCGGATTGTTGCCATAAATGTGGATATCAGAAGCGTAACTCTTCGTACAGTATATTGAGTGTCTATTGGCTGCAAATCTGTTTTTCACAGTTTCCATTGGTTATTCAACACATTATCTTTGTGGTAATCGTTACAAGTAAAACTCCTTTCTGATAAAAGAGTCAATTGGCATACTTGCAATCATTTTTCAACATTTAAACTAGACTACAACGAACAAAAACACATTAAGTGAACATGAAATGGTGAACCAGAACTAACATTATTTCAACTTGGTCATACCTGCACTAGGCCCTAAAGTTATTAAGAATAATGTGTAAAAACTAACCTCAGTATGAATGAATTGTATTGAATGTATTGTTATTAATCATGGAAAATGGTTGAAAACTGAAATTTAAATTTATTCATCTGGCAATTTCAATTTTATTTTTTAGAAAGACTATAGATACAATATGTACTGTATAAACATTTAAATGAATATAATACATAACATGTTGATAAAAACATGTAATACACTGTTAATTCCATATCACAATTTCAATTGAACTCAATTACCGTCATAAAATGTTTACGCGAATATGTATAAGAAAATGTTTCATACAATATATGTCTGAGCAGTCACATACTTGCCATATTGTAATATTTAAATATTATAGAATATAAAAACACAATTTTTGCTATCACGGATAACACGATTTCTTAAAGGTTAATTAACAATGTAAAATTATGCAGAAAAATAACACTGCAGCTTTTAAACAATGGTAACATAAATTTGACACAACAAAAGACACCCAGACTCGCAAAAGTATCTTGAGTTTTATTTTGTGATACCCTTAAGAGTGTTACAGAGAGGAAAGCTCAGAAACTAATGGCTCTGCAGTTTAAAAACTAATTTGTTTGAAAAAGAGTCGTTTCCAGCTCTATTACAAGTTTATTCAACAGCGAAAACTCAATTAAACTTTTGAAAGAAACTGTAAAAACGTTATTTGACTAATCTTATACATTTGCCTTCACATATTTCATGGCAAATATCATTATACTTTCTTCAACAAATATAATTTTCATTATAAAATGCTGATGGTGTCTAAGTTTTCAATATATTACGATTTCATTAAATAACTTCTTGATCAGCATTGTACGTGTTATTAAATTTACAGAAAGTAAATAAAAGAAACGTCTTATAACACTTAAAACATATATTTACGCTTATACTGTTACTCACAAGACGGTAAATATACAAAAAAGGTGGTAAGTGGTGATCGATTTCGATTGGACACTCCAATCATCATCAGACCCAATAGGCGAATGACTGTCATTCGCCTATTGGGTCTGATGATGATTGGAGTGTCCAATCGAAATCGATCACCACTTACCACCTTTTTTGTATATTTACCGTCTTGTGAGTAACAGTATAAGCGTAAATATATGTTTTAAGTGTTATAAGACGTTTCTTTTATTTACTTTCCGTAGATTTCATTAAGAAAGTAATGATTACATTTTTGTAACAATAAGTTAAGTTTAAAATTTGTCAACGTTATTAATATGTCCACGTTAAAGAATAGCCCAACGAATATTAGTGTACATTCATATATATACATCTTTCAGCAGTTCTTTGAACTTGAAATCATGTTATAATAATAGCAAGTTGGTTTTTTCGAGTGATGTGTGAAGTTAAGAGCATTCAAGATATAGACCACTTAAGTAAAAGCAATATGACAGTTTGTCAAAGATAGGCTATTTGTCATGATAGTGGGGAATGAAGATAAATCACTGAAAAAACCTCATTCTCTGAGTAAGACTTTAAGCAACAGCAGCTATAGGTACGATGAAGTCGGTTGTGGTTGTTTTATGCTTTTGTGCAGTAATATTTAGTGCAGAATGTGCAAGTGGGCAGAGAGGTGAAATATTTCCAGTTCGGAAAATAAGGCGGATACCAGTAAAAGATGTAGATGATGGGACTCTTGGGGATCCACTATATTTGACTCCTCTGATTAAAGCAGGTAAAATCAAGAAGGCTCAGCATCTTTCCAAGGTAAAGCCAGACATAGGTAATATCACTAGTTATTCTGGGCTTCTCACAACTAACAAAACATGTGGAAACAACTTGTTCTTCTGGTTCTTCCCAGCACAAGAAGACTGGGAGAACTCACCAGTAGTGCTGTGGCTTCAGGGAGGTCCAGGATCATCATCTATGTTTGGTCTCTTTGAAGAGAATGGCCCCTTTAACCACTATTCCACCGGTTTGGAAATGAGAAATTACTCTTGGAATGTCAAAAACAATCTCTTGTACATAGATCAACCTGTAGGCACTGGTTACAGTTTTACAAAGAACGGATGTTACGTCACAGACCAAACTGCAGTGGGAGAAGACTTGTATTCAGCACTCGTACAATTTCTACAACTCTTCCCAAAACTGCAGAAGAACAAATTTTTCATCACAGGTGAATCCTTTGCGGGCCATTACATTCCAGCTATAGGCTACACAATTCACAATAAAAATCCGACAGCTAAACTGAAAATCAATCTTGCTGGTATGATGATCGGGGACGGGTGGACTGATCCTAGAGAGCAAATAAACTACGGCGACTACTTGTACCAGGCTGGCTTGATCGATGATGCTGAAAGAGATCAGTTTTACGTCTACCAAAAGGCATTCGTTCAACAAGTAGACGCAAAAAAGTGGAAAGCTGCATACAACTCTTGGAATAAAGTTCTTGGTTTGTTTGACAAATACTCCAGTGTGGATGTTTACAACTACCTTCCTCAAACAGCCGATACAAGCGATTGGGACTACTACATCCAATCCCAAGCAACTCGTAAAGCCATACACGTCGGTAACCTGGAGTACGACGAACAATCAGATGAAGTTTACAACCACCTTGTTAACAACATGGTCCAGTCCGTTAAGCCGTGGGTAGAAGTTCTCCTAGAGAACGGTTACCCGATGGTGTTCTACGTGGGCCAAGTAGACGTGATCTGCGCATATCCGATGGTCATCAACTTTGTGCGTTCCCTCAACTGGACTGGCCAAGCCGAGTACTTGAACGCTACAAGGACACAATGGCATGAGGGGAACGATCTAGCTGGTTATGTGAAGGCTGCTAACAACCTGGCCGACGTGTTGGTGAGAGACGCAGGACACATGGTGCCTTCTGACCAACCCTTCTGGGCGTATCAGCTGGTCAACAAGTTCGCTTCTGGAGGGATACCAGCCCTCTTGGGAAATAGCAAACTTGGCGATTAGTAATATTACTTATTGGACATTGTTACATAAAACTACAGCTATGTTGAGAGTGAATTAGATATTTTACTGTAAAAATAAATTCTTGAAAAAGTAAAGGATTGGAAATCCCCAAAAAATATTAATGATGTGTGTCTGCTGTATACTTATATTCCCTCAAACCTACAGCTAGATTTTGAAAACTCGAAACTGTGTTTATGTCTGATAGATAAAAAACTAGTCTTAGTATTTTTGAAGCCTTGATAGTTGATTAAGTCTAAATCAAGATTGTGTTTATAATTATTAAATAAATTTCTTAAACTACTTAAGTGAACCTAGACTCAGAAGTTTAGTTTAGATTTATCTTAAGTTCAGGTTTATAGTGCATCTTAACAAACGTCAAACCAAATTTATTTTATGATTGAAACAATCTCAATCTCAAATCTTAATTTTTGATTGGGAGGGATTTATAGTCAATTAGACCTCTTGTGAGCTTATTTTTCAATACCGGTCTAGGAAAACATTTATTTCTACTGTAGAGTGAAGTCAGACACAAGCTTATGTCCATGAATAAGTTTTGATGAAGGAAGGCAGAGTTACAATAACTTGCCAAGATTTAATTGAGACCCAGTTCACAACTAACTTTGAGTAATATAACTGTGTAATATTACCACCCACTTTTCCCTGTTGAAATAGTTTTTGAAACAAACGACTTCTAGTTTAAATTTAATAGAAGCGAAGTGGCAATAACTTGTTCAGATTTGATTGAGCAGTTCGCAAGCTACTTTGACTATCACCTCACTCGACCAGGTTAAATAAAAACAATCAAGCAACCTTTAAAACATATTGCCTTTCAAAAACAAACTACTTTTATATTAATCAACATTTTATAAGTTCATTTTTCTTAATTTTTCTACCTATTACTAGGCAAATTTATATTCCTGGTTGACATACAAAATCTGTCTAAACAGGTGCAATGATGTGTGCCCATTTTCAACTCTTTTTCCAAAGTACTCCTCAAAATACTGAATTCAGACTAAAAATCAATAAATGCTCAGTATTATTCGCTGGTGAATAATTTGAGTACCTTTATTGAAGGGAACCTTTTTTTACCAGAATATATAAATTTAGAACAGAACAGTTGTCTCATGATCCATGGTACGTTTTTAAAATCCAGTTCCTTACAACGAACGAAAAATTCAGTTCTATTAACATACAAATTATCAAGCACTCGAACAATATAAACCGTGTCCCAAAAAGAATGGATTAAATCTACAGCCAAGAATATTTGTTACCAAGGGTCGTAGAAAAGTAAACTATTTCTAATTTAACAGTAATAAGCTGTTATTTGTTGTTAGCATGTTTGAATTTTTAAAACATTCATTTACAGTATGGAGGTGCACATAAAAGCACAGTGTATTGAATGATTTACAGAGACTAAATCTGTGGTGTGATTTTTTTTATCTGGGGGTTTGTGAAAGATCCAGAGTATAGCTCGCCGATCTCAAACATATATTAACTTAAATCTTAAAGGAAGGCTTTAAAAAATATGTAATGAAATGCGCCACAATGTGTAACCAGAGCTGGCACACAGACTTGACTAGAGAACGTGTAGAGTTGGCGGTGAAACCATGGTAGGAAAACTTTTTAAAATGTATATAAAGTTAACATTTTATCACTTAAGTATTTATGCCAGTTTACTTTTCCATTCTTTTTGGGACACCCTGTACTTTGGTGATGAGCCCACTATTACATTGCAATGCTAGGGAATGTGGTTGAAAAAAATTAACTCAAATACATAAAAAATGTTATGCATAACTTTGTATATTTATTTATGTTCAATATTGGCACAAGAAGGCACAGAAGTTTAACATATTATGTACACTCAGTCTTACTCTAAAAACTTCAACTAACATGCTACAACACATATACATAATGTACAAATATATATTTACTTGGCTGTTGAGGACAAGCGTGTGCTAATAAAAGAAAAATATGTTGTATGGATTGAGTAATGTAAAAATAATATTAGCCTACCATTACTGTTCATAACATTTCAGAGAAGGGGAAATTGTTTACAAAACTACTATGGTTTAAATTATTATGGATAGTAACAAAATTGTGCTTTTACTGGAGAAAAAATGTTTTTATTTAACTTTTCTTTCATTGTTGTATTTGTAAACATTAGTAGAATAGTTTTTACTGTCAATTGTTGCATGAAAAAAAGTATGTAAGACTTTTATTCTGTTGGTGGCAAACACTTTGAGGGTTTATCCACCAAAAATTTTCTTTATAACATATACATATACATATGCTATGCATATACATCTACGTAATCCTTTAAATTATGAAATTAAAACTGAAATTATACTGCACTAGGCAATTTAAGTGCCTTTTTCAATTGATATTAAGGTTTATTGTTTAAAACAAAAACTAGTGCAAATAAACTAATAGAAAGTACAGTATTATAACGACACAATTAGCAATTTACAAAGCAATCAGTATGTATATCATAAAACTCTGATATTGAGGTTAATGGGTCACTTACAAAAGCTATAAAAAGTATTCTATCAATATATAATGCACCTAAATCAACAATCTATGAACCTAACTATCTTTGGGAATAGATTTTGAAACTAATTTAATTAAGGTCTACAAACTAATTGGTAGACATAACTACATATAAATTGTAGCACAAAACAACACAAAATCTGTACAGTGAAACCTAAATTACCTAATTTAGTTATGATACCTAATTTAGTTTGGATGACGGATTTTAATACCAGTCTCAATTGCACCATTAAAGATAATTTCTAAAAAATCTGTTGCTCTGTAACAAATTAACAATTAGTTTTAATAGTCAAACTACACATACATTTTAATGTATAACTACACATCAAATAATATTATTATAAGAATCATTTAACAATGTAACTTGTATAATCTGAAATACCAGACCAAAATGTCCAAAAATTGTATAATTTATTGTTAATAATAGTTAAAAATCAAAATTATCTCCAAACATCTAAATACTCAAAATAATCTACTCGAATAAACTATGAAATGCTAATAGAAAAATATACTCTTCACAAGGCATCATAAAAAATCAAAAATATATATCCGCATACTTTTTCTTATTGAATTAAACAATTCAAAATCAAAATTACCTCAATCAAAAAGGATAATGAAAACCGCCGAGACACTAACCGGAAGTTTACCACTGGTTCCAACGACGATTCCTTACAGAGAAGACATACAGGAATCTTCTACTCGATGTCTCAACGAGTTCGCCCAGGCTGGGACCGAGAGATAAAGGTCAAAAGTTGTACAGGTGGTGCCCCTGGCTACGACCCGTGGGCAAACTCTTGATACCCCTCTGCCCCTGTGAAGATAACGTCCACCCAGATACGCATAGCCTCAGGACTAGGGGCGACCAGGTGGTACGTCCTCTCACTGCTCTTGATGACGAACGTGACCGAAGGATTGGGTGACCTCACGTTAGAGTGGTCCACATACACCTCCTCGATAGCCTACCACAACAACACGGTTAGTTTATTTTGAGCGATATTATACATAAGAAACTGTTGGTATTTACACTTAAAGAGCACATTAGTGTCTTGCTTGTAGCAGCTAACAACCAACTCCTGACATAAATTAATAGCCTATATGGTTTGACCTTAACCAGAAATGTCCTCTTAGTAATTTAACATACTTCTAAATCATTTGAGATTATCTGTGGACATTAGAAATCGCTTGCTTAAAAAAGTTAGTTTCATTAAGGGTTAGCCTATTGTTGTATGTAACTGAATGGCCATAAAATCATTTGAATCATTTGAGGTGTTTTACGCTTGGATAAACAATTAAGAACGTTCCCAAGTCAATGACAGCATAGATAAAAAATAAAATATGACACAGTATTTTACAAAGAAGAACGTTCATTTTCCTACATTTATATTCCAAATGAAAAACCGAGTGGTTAAAGTCTCTCTTAAGTGAAAAGATCTCTATCAAAACGTTATCCTTATTAAATTACGATGCATTATAGATACTTTTTACTTGTGCAGTTGACTTCCTAAAGTGTGTCAGAAGCCAATAGATGACAGTGAGCATCATCAAAATAATGATAAGCTATTGCTGATTGTTGGTAGGATTTGAGCGAGAACCTCCAGACTCAAATTCTTTGCTCTTGATTATGTCCAGGGTTTGTAAACATTTTCCAAACTCCAATAAAGAATCTCTTTTTATACACCCCAAGAACTGTTAAATTTTTGAACTCGCATTAAAAATAAAATATTCTCAAGATAGGCGGGAACCAAGAAGGAGTCTTTGGCAAAGTTTGCTGGCAAGGAATGGACCCTAATTGCAACTAAACAACGAGAGTCTACACAGTTCAGTCACTTAACTACTTTTATCTACCTTGGTTTATATTTGACTTGCACTACAAAGATTACATCTGTGCACCTGACATACTTAGGTGGATAACTCATATTATTACACGTATCTGTTAAACGATCTATAAGTTACGTAATGAAGACAGTATTCTTAATAATTTCACTTCCAGGTGGGAAAGGTTTAACTTAAAAAAATGTTTAAATAATGTTTAAATTAAAATATGTAGCATTTATGGTTGGATATAAATTTTAAAAGAATAGAATTTCATATATGGGAAAACCGCGGAACATTTGTTTTTGTTTCATTAGTTTTGCTCGTTATGCAAAAATGTATATCCAAATGGAACATGGGATCAAAATAGTTGTTATATATCAAACTGTTGAAATTTGCTATCTAAATGGTAAGAAATATTTTTAAATATGTTTTAAGTTACATCCAGGATAGTAGTTTAGTGGAGTGTTTATGGACATAACCTGGAAAATGAATTTCTAGTCACTGATGTTTACGCATTAATTTGGCTAATACGTTGGTACAGTTCGGCCAAATTTTCTGTGCGCGCGACCAGATCCGGTTAAGTCTGGGCGAGGGGGTTGCCGGGGTACATTTTTGTGTAAACGCTAAATGTCTTGCTACTTATTCATCTCTACCCCTAGCAATGCCAATAGCGATACCCAAATGTTTTAGTTTGGCTAGTAGCGACTAGTTCGCGCACTGTGAAGTTTCGGTCGAACTGTGATGACAGTGAACCGTAAGCTTATTTGGTAAAAAATTTGTTGTTTCAAACCTAAACTAAACAAAGGCTATTCTGGATGAAAATTCTCTTAGATCCATTAAGTTTAAATAGAGTTGAGGAAAATCTAATTAGCATTCAGAATGTTTAATTTATACCGTCAACAGAATCTAAATGAGTCGATAAAGTTGCTGTATGAGCAACACCACTTCATACCTAGTTAGAGTTTCTAGCTCAAACACCCCTGACTACTGACCTGGAAGTAAGCACCTCCCTTGGGTTTCTTCTCGCTCCTGTCCGTGTAGTAGGTGAGTGTACGACGTGTCCGGTCGAACACAAACCATCGTTTGTTCCAGTTGCGGAACCTGGAAGTCATCTTGTGCAGGAAACCTCTACAGGATGTCTTGTCCAACAACACGTGAGGACACAGATCCACTTGGTGTCCAGCGCTCTCAATGTGCTGCCTCAGGTCCAGAGATTCTCCTCGGATGGGCAGATACCTCGTCAGCGGCCTCTGTATGAAATAAAATAATTTATTGAGTCATTAAACACACAATAGGAAACAAGACAAATAAAAAAAATTACATGAATGAATGTAGTTAATAGTTAAAGAACTTCTTGACGGATAAAGAGAGATGTCCAAAAATGTCTTGATCCTTTGCAGGAAAAGTCAGTAGGGTCTTAAGGGTTGCTAGTAGATTATTAAACACATTCAAACCTATCACCAGGAAACAGTCTAAAGACTTTGACAGCCAACTAAGAACATAGAGACTGGAACTTTTTCAAGTGGCATACTGATTTTGGGAATTGGAACAATATTAACATGCAAGTAATCGTAAATTAGTTTGAGAGTTTATACACAAGTCTAAAGTAAGAGTTTACAATATATCACACCTGATTCACCCACCTGTAGGTTGTTGGTGCTCTTATTCCTCATGCGCACAGTCAGCTGATCCTCGCTGTAGCTGGAGGCATCAGAGAGCGGCCGACTCTCAGACACGGGCTCCTCATGTCTCTCGTCTTCTTTGTGGTTCTGCGGCTGTAACATAACAAAATCCTTCAAAGTCAGCCTGCAGTGTGTAAGGTTCTCCAATATCACTTAATATCACCAAACATTATTCATGACTTCCAATATTTTTTTCATCACTCCTTAACGAAAGTAACTATTTTCGATAACAGTTTATATCAATGAAAGTAGTCGTTTCCCAAGCTCTAATTTAGGGCGAGGGAAAATCGATCAGCTGATTTTCCCTCGCTCTAAATTTACTTTCCCTCGCTCTCAATTAGTTCTCCATTTATTCACTACGCGCGCCAGTGTTTTGTTACGGTTTAATTTAATGATTTTAATCAGCTGTATGTATTTTTAAAAGTTGTGTTATTCTTTTATTTTGATGTTTAAACAAAATTTATTGAGAAATATACGTAGGTTTCTTTTTAGAAGATTTTATTTTATTTTGATGTTCAATCAAATTAATTGAGAAATCAAATTGTTTTAATATACTGAGGTCTGCTATTCTGTGTTTGTGTATTTTTGCGTCTTGATGAAAAGTATCGTTCATAACTCGTACCGAAAGTTATTATCCGGCACTTGCTCCATTATTCCCGTCTTCGGCTTCGCCTCGTACGTGAAAATAGCTCTCACATACTCGGCTTCGCCTCGCACGTGAAATTGGGGTTCCCTGTGTTCGGCTTCGCCTCACACAAAAACTTGGGCGCGCGACGGAAAATGCCACTTTCGGTCCTAGTAATGAAATATACTATTCCTCAAAACACTCATGATATTCTACGCAAACAATCATGACATTTGGTCGGTCCAAGTCGCCAAGTCGGATAGTCAAAACACTGACCAATCCCACACAATGGCAGGAGTGCTAAACACAGTCACGGCTTGTGAACAAGAAGCATTGTCGCACAACACTACTACTCGCCTGGCTGCCAGACTACAAATAGAACCTCGGACCTCGCAGTTAGCTCATTTGTCTATTGCTCTTGGACTAATTAGCCTTAGTTTGTATCAACTGCATTCTCTACCCTACGCGATGGAAATTTTCTTTCCCTCATGTTGAAATGCAACCGGCACACTATTAGTTCAGACGAGTCAGGTGTTGTGGTTGTTGTTGCGTTCATTTATTGTTAACTGTGTGAAACAAATTATGAACAAAATATATAAAATATTGAATTGGTGTTCTAATCAAACACATAATTCTCACACTTCGTCTTAAGGCATTGAGATTGCTACTCACAACAAGTTACCCTCAAATAAAACAAATAAAAAAATATTTAGCTACGTTTTAGATTTAATAGAAATGTATTTTCAAAGTAGATAAATAAATTAAAATCTCAAATTTTAGAACAGGAGATTTGATGAAACAAAATTAAGTAATATTATATTTTTGTCCAACTTGCTAACAAACAAATTGATAAGAAAATAGGATAGAAAACTCTTGAATATTACCACCGGTAAAACAAAATTGTGTATCATGTATCAGTTTGGTGGTACTCCAGTGTCATGAGAGTTTGCCAAGCAATGCACAGGCTGCAGATTCGATTAAAAACTAGGGTAAAAGAATTTGTGACTTTTTCAATCTTCATAATTCATCACGCCCAGCTACTGAAATCATCGGGGGAACAAGACAAAAAGTCTATATTTCTTTGTAAGAAACGAAGATATAATTTATTCTACACTCATTCCGAATTTATAACCAACCTAAGCGATGTACCACTATATTATAAACAAACGTGTGGCTAAAATAATATGTTACCGATAATATTCTCTACTAGTGCTATTTATTTTAAGAAAAAGTATATTATGGTAATGATTCAATATTTACAGCTTGTCGTAAAACACATTTTTAAAGTGTTGACGATGCTCAGATAATCATCAAAACATTTATATTACCTTTTTTAAAGAAGCCCTTATATGTCTACTTCAAAAAAAAAATCAAATATGTAGTTCATTGAAGGGAGTATTTATTGATTACTCTACAGCAAAGCTAAGAACCTCCACCCGAGCCTCCTTTAGGTATTGAAATTCCAACCTTGTAGTCTTTGGTTTCTTCTGTTCAACATCCCGCACTTGATTTCCCTAATCGATTTGGTCTTGACCAGTCCTTAGTAGAGGTTATTACATGCAATCCCATGGTATAGTTTGCTGCTAGCCTATCTGGTTTTAAGCTAGACTATCTGGTTTGCTGCTAGCTATTTGGTTTGCCGCTAGCCTATCTGGTTTGATGTTGGACTATCTGGTTTGCTGCTAGCCTATCTGGTTTGTTGTTGGACTATCTGGTTTGCTGCTAGCCTATCTGGTTTGTTGCTAACCTATCTGATTTGGTGCTAGACTATCTGGTTTTGCTAGCCTAACTGTTTTGCCGCTAGCATATCTCCTTTTTGTTTCAACTCCTAGAGGGTGTTTCAGTTACCCTAAGTCATGAGAATTTTATCCCATCGTTGTTAGAGCTTGTGATGGGTTTAGGGCCGTATCCCATGCCTGGCTTAGGATGTTTGCAGCCTCCTTCTGTTTTTCATTGGCTTTGAATGTTTGCAGCCTCCTTCTGTTTTTCATTGGCTTTGGATGTTTGCAGCCTCCTTCTGTTTTTTATTGGCTTTGGATGTTTGCAGCCTCCTTCTATTTTTCATTGGCTTTGGATGTTTGCAGCCTCCTTCTGTTTTTCATTTGTTTGTCCTAATTATTCTTTGCTCTTTGGTTTGTCCCCGTCTAGCACCTTCTTCACTTCCTACCAAGAGCCCCACCCCCAAGATGGTGGAGGTGCAGGAGTAGGGAAACTGTCGGAAGGTAGTGGTTCAAGTACTCGCGGAACCAACACTCCGACACCTCCAAAAGGTGGCGGAGCACCTCCAAAAGGTGGCGGAGGCGGCCCCCCGAATACTTTCCTCACTACCCAGCCGACGGCGATCCCTACGCCCACACCTACCACTACCTTACGAATGCGACTCATGGTTAACTAATTGACAAAAAAGGAAGACTTACTAAGATAATTGGTCGTGCTGTTGATTGTTTGAGAGTTTTCAATGAAGTGATTAAATGTTTCTATGGAAACATTTATGAAAAACAAAAATTTTAACTCAAGTCTATAGTTAAGTGTTAGTATGTTAACCATTATACTTTTAAAGTTTTTCTCTGATAAGGATAAAAAAGATTAATTAATAAAATTGAATTTATGTTTCAACTCTTTTATAAAGTTTGAAAGTAGGCCTATATAACTTTGAAATACAATTTTTAATTGTGTTGCAACACATGTTACAAAAGGAGTTAAGGGAATAAATTTTTATCTCCACGTATGCAGTAATGTGGTACATGTAGAGTGAGTAGAATTCACAAACAATCATTTTTTTCAATTTTTATTGCAATTCATTAGCAGTGATTTTAAATTACTTGTATTTATATGAAAAAAATGTGTTCTTATAAAAAGAATAATTCATTACTAGGTCTCATGGTAAGACCTACGGGACCGGGACCGATTTTATGATTCTGATACAATTTGATACATATGTGTAAGGCTACATTTATTCTTCGCAAACCAGCATGATCAGACTATGGGAATGGGAATTTCTGGAGTGAAAATTGGTTCTACCCATTTTTTACCCCTAAAACAAAACATTTGGCTATTTCTTTCCAAAATATTTTGTAGAGCTTAAATAAACCAATAATGTATTATACTAGTGTGCCTGTTGCTCGAATTCGAACAATTGCAAAGTGTTACAGGTGTTATTTCAAAACGAATATCAATCATAACTTTCGATCACTTAAAAGGGTCAACTCAAAGATAATGTGTAATCAATCACTCCACTACAGTTATCGAAACTGAAACGAACGCTCTTGTGTGTATCCGCTCTTGTGTGTATCGCGTGTTTACTAAGAACAGCTGTAGGCTGTAATTAATACAAATTATTTGTCTGCTTATGTAAACAAAATATTTTCTTCATAAGAAATACATTGTTATTTTGATGGCCTGTGGTTCACAGCTCGAGGACTTTTATTACGTGAATTGGTGAAAGGTGACGTCTACACAAAAAATCCTTAATTTTGACACATCGTTTGTAAATATCCGTCCATTATTAATGGAGGAGTAGTGTTTCGTAGAAATCGCCTTCACGTATTATACTGGGTGAATTTTAAATGAGTTCCCCCCTACTTTTTTCTGCATTTCTACTACTTTTTTATACTGGACTCAATGCTGCAATCCGTTTTTGGTTATCAAGCTGTCTTGATGAAATATTAAAATAGTCTTATTTAAAATTTCAATATTTCAAAAACCAAAGATGCAAATGAAAAACGGATTGCGGTATTGAGTTCAGCATAAAAAGGTAGCTCAAAATGATGGGTCACAACACCACCTTCATATTTAAATTAATTGATCACATTTCAAAATGGCGGATCCAAGATGGCGGCTGAAATAACTACATCCGTCATAACCAAGTGAAAATATGTCGGCAATGAATGGTGGTGTATACTTATCTTTATCTAGCACTATTTTAAGATTATGGTCTTAGTTTGTAAATGCACAATGTTAAAACGCGCTAAAAATAAAGCTATAAAAAGTCCTCATAACTTAAGAACGGATCAAGATTTTTAAAAACTAATTGCGGCATTGTAATCAGCGTAAAATTCTAGTTTGAAATAATGGGTCACAACCCTACCTTTACATTTGAAAAAAAACTTTGTATCCAATATGGCGGATCCAAGATGGCGGCCAAAAATGTATACCCAGTCAAAATGAAGTACTTACTACTCAACAATGATCTGACGTGGTCCGGAGTTGATATCTTAAGAAATGTAGAAAAAAGTAGGGGGGGAACTCATTTAAAATTCACCCTGTATATAAGGATAACATCGTTATCGATTAAAACTGATATAAATCGATGTATCAATTCCTATATTGAAAACAAAACAAAATACCCAACTTTAAAGCTGATTAAAACCACTAAATTGTTTCAATAACATATTCGTATTTCACCACAATGGGTGGAGACACTCGCAGAAAATACTGTGACACACGGTTCCAACTCTTTGCCCAAACG